CCTCAGCTCTAGAATCTAACTGAAACAGGAAAATGAAGGAGTGTGTGTTGGGTTTGAGGCACCGCCTGACATTTAAAACACACACACACACACAAACTCAAACACACACACACAAACTCAAACACACACACACGTCTGACCTGCCGTGTTTGTCTCATCCGTCTCCGGGACGCAGGAAGAGTCCTGAAGCTCCTGGTTCCCTGCCAGCGCAACAAAAACACAACGGAGTGAAACATCCAGGACCTTTTCCACTATTCACACACACACACACACACACACACACACACACACACACACACACACACACACACACACACACACACACACACACACACACACACCACACACACACACACACACACACCCTCTCTCTCTGAATGGTGCGGCATTGGAGCCAGCGGAGTGTGACAGTAAATCTGCTGGACAAACACATCTGATGGAGAATGGAGGGATTTTAACACTGTAAGCAAACTGAATGTCTGTGTTCATTCATGGCTTCATGCTCTGCAGGCCTGAGGAAAAAGAAAGTACACCCCTTCCACTTCCTACTGACAGAATCTGATCCCTAAATCAAACCTGAACAAAAATCTCTCCCTCCGGGATGTTGTGTCTGTTTTTGTCATTTTTCCAATCAAAAATGTTTGAAATAAATTTTAAGTTGCTGTTTTACTCACTTCCAGCAGGAGCTAGCTGCGCTACAATGTTCCTTTTCTTCTCTTAAGAGTACAGTCAGTCGTTATCAGAATAGAACGGCTTATCTACCTAAAAGAAATGCTGCCACCTGCAGGTGAGAGTTAGCATCACTTAACAGTTTTGACATTTATTTGTTTCAAATTGCAATAAACTCACAATTATGAATTAGCGCAAAAATGTCAATGTTTGTTATGAGGACACATCAAAATACTTCACTGTGTGTAATAATTATAATGAGTTTCATTGTTTTAATTAAAGTAATGAAGCATATTAATTCTTTAACGACATTCTTATATTAAAATGCTCCTAGAGGTAAACAGAAGGGTTTGTCCATATATGGTCAACAGGATACTGCAGGCACTAATCTATGCCAGCAGGGGTCGCAGGTGTGACATTTTTGCTGAAATGTCACACCTGGAGAGAATATATTCTTCCTGTGAACCAAAACTTACTCATTTTAATCTTCTATATTTGAATGTATTATATTGATGAAATTATTTTCAGATAAAAATAAACCAACTGTTGATGAACGTGAAGTGATTAGATGTGATGCTGACTCAGTCAGATACAGCACCAGCTTTGGGGGCCATGTGAAGGGTGAGCTGGGCTCGGTTTGGTCAGGACGTCCTGCGCCGTTCTCCAGGGTTCCTGTGAATAATCCAGGCTCCAGGAGCAGCGGGCCCCGCCGCCATCACGGCCCTTCTCTCTGCTTTGTTTCAGAGAAAATGCTGAATGTTCAACCCAAAGTGTTGGCGCTGCACTCCGCGCTCGTTGTTTCTATTTCATTCATCCTGTGACTCGGGGGCATCAGGAGTGTGTGTTTAGCATATGAATGGCCCCGCGGGCCCCGGCGGCCGCATCAGGAGCAACCTGAGCCTTCTGGTAGCTCTGCACTGCATCAACGTGACATATTTAAGGCACTTTCTGGCTGCCTCGCCGAGCTGACATGAACATCTTCACTAAGGTCCCAGGATTAACCCAACAAACCAGGTATGTCCCGAGGGCCCACAGCGGCGGGGCCCGCAGCGCCACGGGGGCCCGCAGCGGCGGGGCCCGCAGCGCCACGGGGGCCCGCAACAGTTCCACCAAATCACCCCGGCTGAGGATGAGGAAAAAGACACCATGAAACCTGAGCTAACGACGGTTTCAGAGTCCAGTCAGGCTCCAAAACATGAAGAGTTTAATATTGTCTGTTTTCTGAATAAAATGGTTTGTTTGTCTGCAGCAAACTGGGGTCTGTGCTCCAACGTGCCTTCTACGGGTCCACTGGGAGGGTGAGTCCAGCCGAGACACAGCGCCACCTTAAAAAATCTGATCATCTGTTACACAAGTTAAACTTCATTTATTTAAATTTGTTTAACGTGACAGCTTGATTTGACTACTTCTAACAAATTATTTAATTAATTTGTTAGAATTAAACCTGCCTGTTAGCAGAAGAACTTTGGTTATTTGGTTTGACCCATTTGGACCCAGGAGTTTATTAAAATAATTTCTTCACATTTTCAGCCAGAATTTCCTAAAATCTTTGAGGTTCTGGAGAGTTTTCCTGTGGATCTTGCCTTTCCGTTCAGCTCAGACATTTTCAGAGGAATATTCTGCACAGGTTGAGATACTTCTAACAAACTTTGCAATGAAAAACCAGCTGATAGTGAAGAGAATCTCAAAAAGATCCAAAAGTTTGCAGAACCATTGATCCAGAACTCTTTGGAACAGCTGAATGAAACCAATGAGTGTCACTGTTTGAACAGGTGACCCTTTTTGAGCAGCGAAACTTCGCTGGCAGACGACTGGACCTGAACTCCGACTGTCCCAGGATCAGCGACAAGAACTTCCCAGAGAGATGTAACTCCGTCCAGGTGGACAGCGGAGCGTAAGTTCGCCTTTTCAGGCAGAACCTGAAACGTTGAGAACACTGTGGGAACTTCCCAAAGGTCAACGCAACCGAGAACTACTGACCAGAACCGGTCCGTCTCCTAAAACAGTGTTTTTCAAAGGGAGGGCCGCCATGGGGCGCTACTGGAGAACGATAAGAAAAAAATAGGAAAAAAGGAAACCCAACAAGTTTTTAAATCCTAAATGTAATTTTGTTTTTGATTAATGTAATGTGTATTTCAATAATTTTTTATAAAATATGCGGAAAGTTTAAGAAAACTTCTTGAGGATAGAAATATTGCCCTAAAATAAAGGATATTGTGTGACAATAGCTTTTATTGTTAAAAAGGCTATTGATTTATTAAAAAGGCTATTGATTTATTAAAAAGGCTATTGATCGTCTTCCTGACTGGCTGCCAGTGAAGTCGGCTCCTCAAGCCGTAAGTCAGTGAAATTCTGTTACTTTATAGATTTTGTAGCCTTGTCTGAGTTTTCAAAGGAGATGTGAGAAAGTTTAGGAACCACTGTCTTAAAATGTCGGTCTATCGAAGAAGAGAGGACCTCATCATCATCTTCTTCTCTGTGGCGTGTCTGGCAGATGGGTCGGGTTCGAGCAGGAACTACCGGGGCCGTCAGTACCTGTGGGACATGTCCGACCGCGGGGAGTACAACTGCTACGACCGCTGGTGCGCCCAGGTGGACCACGTCTCCTCGGTCCGCGCCGTTAAGCAGGTGAGCCTCTAACACATCGTTTTACCTGATTTCTAAATGTGTCGGCTTCCTCCCTGATGCGCTGCGTCTCTGGTCCTCAGGACAACAATCCTCCCAGGGCGCAGCTGTTCGAGCGAGCCGGTTTCTCCGGGAAGAAGATGGAGATCCAGGATGACATTCCCAACCTGCTGAGCCGCTACAACCTCAACAGAGTGGCATCCATCCGCGTCCTGGGAGGAGCGTAAGTCCACCGACCTGACAGGTCCAGTTTACATCAAAAATAATAAGATTAATGGATAATTGATTAATAATAAGCTATGATATCTTTGACCTTTGGGTCCAGAGATCTGGGTTCTCTCTTCAGGAGGTTCAATCCTGCAGAAAGATCAGATGATGACCCACTTTCAGTTTCCTGTCAGAGATCACCAAATTTGATATAAATGTTGTGGTTTTTCAACAAGTTCAGGAAGTCCTCCATTCTAACAACCCACAGCATCACACATCCTTTACCGTACTTTCACAATCTTTGTGCCATTTTTTACTTTATCTTCTCAAAAATATACAAAAGGAATATTTTAAATTTGGGCTGAAAGTTTTGCATTCAAGTAAAAATAGGTCAATGTTTGTCAAAGGAGTTTCTCCAAAGCAAAGATGAATGCAGAAATATTGTTCATAAATAGAGAATCAATAGCCTTAAACTGAACAAGCTAAATTTAATAAGCTAAATACACACACACACACCCACCCACACACACACAGAGGAAAACACAGAAGTTAGCTAGAAAGCTAAACACTTAGCTTGAAACTTAATATTTAGTTAGCCAGCTAAATATTTAGCTAGCTAAAAGTTGAATTACATTTTAAATTTAAGATTATTGATGAAGAAAATATTTAGCGAACTAATGCGATGTCAACAGATAAGCATCCGCTAATTAGCTAGCTAAAGATTTAGCCTCAAACTGAGCTAGCTAAAGCTTTAGCTAGTAACCGAAACATTTAGTTCTCCAGCTAAAACCAAATAGTTATTAATGAATACATAGAAAGGAAAGATGGAAAGAGCCAGAACCACGTAAAGAGCCTCCAAAGGTTCTGGACCTGACCGACCTGTCCGATCCGTCACAGCTGGGTGCTGTACCAGGAGCCCAACTACAGGGGGCAGCACTACATCCTGGAGAAGCGCGACTACCACAACTTCAACGACTGGGGCAGCCAGAGCAGCACCGTGGGCTCCATGCGCAGAGTCCGGTTCACCTGAGCCAGAACCTGGACCCGACCGGCACACTGCAGCCTGTCAGCTCCTCACGCAAATAAAGACTATTTTGGTAATAAACTTGTCTTTATTGGTTACATTTCATATTCGTTAGAAATAATGTTGATGACTTTTCTAAAAAATACTTCATAAGGTGAAATCCTGAAAATGAGGCATAAAGGCTGAAAGGCACTTTGGAGTTTCTCTCACTTCCGGTCTGATGACTCAGCATCACGTGATTCTGTTAACGGGTCAGAATCACCACGTTAAGGCTTTAAACTGTTGGCGTTTTCCTTCAGCTAAAGACCAGCAGGGCTTGAAAGTAACATGAGAAATGCTGGAAAACCAACCAGGATGTGCAAAAGTTCCATTTTAGTCCCACTATTGAAAAAAATGGGTCAGTTTTACTTTTGTGTTGTGCATAAATTAAAGTAACTGGCCTTGGCTCTGAATCAGGATCAAACAGGAAACAAACTTCGTTTTTAAAACCGGTTTTATTTCAGTTTAAAAATTAAACCCAACTTCTTGGTTTAAAATTAAAATAAGTCTTAGAGTTTGTTTCCAGAGCAGTGGCTTGCAGACAAACTTTGCATCTCATGTTCACAATACAGTTTAAGGTACAACAAGATCCTGAAGAAAACTACAAAACTCTGAAAATTTATAAAAACATTTATCAAATATGCAAGAGAACAAATCCAAAACTAAAGTGCAAACAGTTAAAGTACAGGAAAACGTTCCCGGGTCTCAGGACTCCGTTAGCAGAGGGAGCCGCCAGCTTCTGGATGATGGAGGAGTTCAGCTGAGGAAGGAGGCTGATCTTCATCAGTTTGCTGCTGGTACTTCTTCCTCACCGCCTGCAGGATGAGAGAGAGACAGAGAGATCATCCTCCAGCCTGGGGTACAGGGACCGGGGCCGGCTAGACGTCTTGGACTCACCTGGAACTTGGTCCTCCCCTCGTTCACCAGAACCACGTTTCTTTGCCAGCTGCTGCATGATTGGCTGCAGGTGGGCCTCGTCATAGGTGGAGTAGTGCTGCTGCGTGGGCGACTGAGGAAAACATTCATTAGTAAAGAAACCAGGAACAAACATTTTGTCCCATTTATTGTGGTGCCAAAACGACTGACCAGCTGGGTTTTAGCTTTAACTCAATGTTTCAGCTGTTTTCTGTTTCCTGGAAATGTGTTTGGATGCAAAGCAGAACCAGAACCTGAGCGGTCTGGAAGGCTGGTACAGCAGCAGTGATTTATAAACTACCAGCAGTAGTTTAAAGTTTCTCAGTGAAGGACTATAGAACCGGGCGGCGTCTCTGTCCTACTGGTTCTAGTCAGAACTCCAGCAGCAGGTTCTGGGCTGTTTGTCAGTCCGACGCTGCAGGAATCAAAGTTTCTCTGATCTGTGTCAGAGGTCATCCTGATCTCTGGTTTCCAGCTGGAATAACTGAAGCTGACAGACAGAAGGACAGGCAGGGTGACTCACCCAGGGCAGGCCGTCCACCAGCAGCTGGGACAGACACAGGGAGGCGGCGGCGACCTCAGAGGGCCGCACGTGGACCATCTGGTAGTCCAGCAGGGTCAGCTCCATCAGGTACTTGGCCAGCGTGTGCTTCTCTACGTCGGTCTGAGACACAGAGACAGTCAGAACCACCGATCCAGACCGGACCAGAACCCCGGAGAACTCCTAATCCAGACTGGACTAAACGATCGACGCGCGTTCTCTGGCTGATCAGCCATCTTAAAAACGCAATTAACAGGAATTGATTTAAAAACAAAAATCCAACATCGGACAAAAGGTGCAGAACATTAATTCAATTATTTAAAATCAAATTATTGTCTAAAATGCAACACAGCATAAGCCTGTCACAATAAGTGATAAAAAAAACACTAATAATTATGACTAATGATAATTAGAGATGTTCCTTGTTCAATATTGTTGAAATGTCGCCATTTTGAAAATAAATGCTGCAAACAATTGAGACGCAGTATGATGTAGTTAGTTTTAACTCCAACCTGCCGAGACAAAAGGATGAATAACGTTTGATCTGAAATGTTTCCAGTGTGAAATCTGAAGAAATGAAGTTTGGTCTCAGAAGGTGAGGTGGCGTTATGAGCTGAAGCATCGGCTCTGGTGACAGGAAGGCAAACCTTAATCAATTCCTTACTACAATCTACCAGCAATGCATGTAGCGAGTGTCAGTCTGACTGAATGAAAATCATTATAACCATTTTATGTCACCTTAACGAAGAACAGCTGAAAAGTTACCAGGTTTTCTGGTGGAAATTTCGCTCCAACTCCTCCCCGAGTTATTTATATTTTCTTTGCATGAAATGTTGGTTAAACATTCATGTTTCCACATATCATCTCCGATGTCTGCTGGACTTCGGGTTGCACCGTGTCAGCTGTTCAGGATTCCTCTCTGTGTTGTTTTGAAAGTAAAGTCTATCTATCTGTGGCAGGAAGTCGCATGTATTATTACGTAATATCCATTAAATCAGTGTGAAAAGGTCTTCAAACAATATTATAGTTTATCGCGATAATTTTTTGAGACGATTAAATCGCTCAGTAAAATCTGTTATCATAACAGGCCGAATCGCCACAGGCCTCGTTTTTTATTGAATTCACTCCTGTGTTGTTTTTTTTGTCTTCTTCAATCTAAAGATGTTTCGAATTTTTTTCCAAATTGGAGTCTTTGGTTTTTTCTTCTTTCCTTCTTGTTTGCTGTTCATATCTGGAGTCTCTAAATCCTGCTGGATGGTTTCCTCATCGATGTCGTCTTGTATGGATTCCAGATCATTTGAACATCCTGGTATTGGTTCTCTTGCTAAATCCTCCTCCGAGGAAATAAGATGACTAGAATCCATAACCGGGTCGACCCGGTTCTTTTCCTCCTCTTGTTGTGAAACTGTAGTTTCCTGATCTTCATGCTGATCTTCCTCAGTGTCTGGCTGCAGTTTATCTCTGGTTGTCTCCAATTCTTGCTTCATTTTGCTTATTTCTTCCTGGAACTGCTCTGCCTGTGTCTTCAACATATTAACATCATGAATGTAAGAACACTGCAGCTCCTTGAACAAAACTCTGAGCGTCTCCAGTTCATCCTGTGCATTTCTGTCCTTGTCCTGGAGGACCTGGATTTCTCGCCGTGTGTTTTCCTCCAGGACGGCGTTTTCCTGTCGCAGGCTGTCGATGAGCTGCTGCTTCTCAGTCGCTGATTGCAATGAGGCGTCTTTCTCTTGTTGTACTTTCTGTTTACATCTTTCCATCTCCTCCTTCAATCCAGTAATATCCATGTTATATTTAAGTTTGAGCTTGTTGTAAAATGTTTTGCTCTCATCCAATTCTTTCTTTAAAATCTTTGCGTCTTTCTTCAGGAATTTGGCGTCCTGGTTTGCTTTGCGTTGGAGGATGGCGTACTCCTTTCTTATTTCCTCCACCAGCGCCGTGTCCTCCTCTGATTTCTCCATCAGAGTTTCTTTCTGTGTCTCCAGCTTTTCAAATTGTTCAATCAATACAGTGTAGTTTAATCCAAGGATGACATTTTCTTTTCTTTCTTTGTAAAGAGCAGCTTCCTCTTTCTTTATTTTGTCTTGGTAAATCTCCGCCTGCTGCTTTAACTCGTTTATTAATTTTGATTGTTCGTTTGTTCCACGTTTGCTCTCCTCAAGTTCGGCTTGTAAACGTTTTTCATTTTCTTGCAGGAGGTCGATCTTTTGGGCCATGTCATGTATGATGTTGTCTTTCTCCACTCTGAGCTTCTCCAGGCTCTGTTCCTCATGTAGCTTTGCCTCATCACCAACGTCTGCTTCGTATTTACGGCGCAGCTCCTCATACGAAGCCTTCAGGTCATCCAGCTTGTCTTCCAGGACTTTATTTCGCTGCTTCTCATCATGCATTTCTGCCAGCAGTGCGTCCTGGATGTGGAACTGAGACACCTTTAAATCTTCGTATTTTTGTTGCAGCTCCTCTTTATCCAGGTCTTCCACACTGAAGTGAGCCTGACAAGCAATAGCAACAACTTTCAGTGTTTCAGTGTCAGTATATCTCTGGAGTCTCTTCAGCTCCTCAGTTGCTCTGTGGGCCTTGTTGAAAAATCCCACTTTGAGCTCCGTTTGTTTCTGCAGCTGGAATTTGGTTTCTTCCAGCTCCTCCTCCAGGTGGGCCAGTCTGCGGTTCTGGTGTCTTTCTGTATTTTGAGACATTTTTATTCCAGTAAAATCACTAAAGTTGTCGATTTCGAAACGAAGTGAACGATCGATTGGAAAGTGCTTTGCGGGCGTCTGAACTGGTCAGGGGTATTGCAAGCAATGACAAATATGCAGAATTGTGTTACATACGATTCTGCAGTTGATGACATCACAGACTGCATCGCCAGTGATATCACAGAATCTTTGCTGGTGCTGTGACATCATTCCACCTCCAAATATCTTCATTCTTGTTTACATTCAAAACAGGATTCTCTGGTTTTATCCCGAATATCAGGACATGAAACTCATTTCCATTTGGGTCCAGATCAAAAACCGGAACGTTCTTAAAGGGCCTGTTGGGCCAGAACGTCTGGATAAAAACTATTAAATGGTTAAAATATCAATAAATTGGTGTTTCAGCATCAATAACTGTTACTTAAAATATAATATTGAACATCTTTTCACACTAATCAGTCCATCCAGGATTGTTTTTGTGCTTCTTTGCAATCAACATAACAGATTTTGTGTGTTAATTTAGAAATATTTGTCAGGATATTTGTTTGGGATCCCCTCCATGATTCCCCTCCTAAAGCAGGAGGGGAATCCGCGCTTTCTGATTGGCTCCCGGTCACATTCAACAGGCTGCGTTCAGCTCCCAGTCTGGGCAAATCCTGGATTTAGATCGGAGCGGCCGACACAACACACAACGATCTACAGTCACACAACGATCTACAGTCACACAACGATCCACAGCAACACAACGATCCACAGCAACACACAAAGATCTACAGTGACACGCAACGATCTACAGTAACACAACGATCTACAGTAACACAACGATCTACAGTAAAACACAAAGATCTACAGCAACACACAAAGATCTACAGTAACACGCAACGATCTACAGCAACACACAACGATCTACAGCAACACACAAAGATCTACAGCAACACACAACGATCCACAGTAACACACAACGATCTACAGCAACACACAACGATCTACAGTAACACACAACGATCTACAGCAACACACAACGATCTACAGTAACACACAACGATCTACAACACAACGATCTACAGTAACACACAACGATCTACAGCAACACACAACGATCTACAGTAACACACAACGATCTACAGCAACACAACGATCTACAGCAACACAAAGATCCACAGTAACACACAAAGATCTACAGCAACACACAACGATCTACAGTAACACACAACGATCTACAGTAACACACAACGATCCACAGTAACACAACGATCCATAGTAACACACAACGATCTACAGCAACACACAACGATCCACAGCAACACAACGATCCACAGCAACACAACGATCCACAGCAACACAACGATCCACAGTAACACACAACGATCTACAGCAACACACAAGTGACAATCTCAGAACGAATAATGTTCTAAGATTGTCGTTTGGAATAAATCCTATAGTTTGAACTTTTGCATCATTCAGTCGGATTCTTCTCTATTTAAATCTAATTATTACTGAAGGCCAATATAATATACAGACTTCATAATCTGCACTCTTTTGGTTGAATGCAGCATTTATTTCCACTTTGGCTTTATGTTGTTTAGTTTTTATTCAAGTACATTTATTGTTAATGGAGACTGAGAATCTATTTTATTTTTGGTTTTGTTATTTATTTTGTGCATCAGTCCCAGTGTTCAGTGTCTTTTGAAAGTAAAGTGTTTCTATCTTTGGCAGGAAATCGCATGTATTATTACGTAATTTCCATTAAATCAATGTAAAAAGGTCTTCAAACAATATTATCGTTTATCGCAAGAATTTTTATCGCCCGGCAAAATCTGTTATCGTGACAGGCCTAGATGGACCCATCAGGAGTTTTCCCAGAATCCCCTGCTGCTCCAGACTCACGTTTGCCACCTTGGAGGCTCGGCGCAGGAAGTGCAGCGGCAGCGGGCGGCCCAGCTGGAAGCCGAGCCGCTTCAGCACCAGCTGCTCCATCTCCAGGATCTGGGCCTTGCTGAAGGCGTCATCCGTGATGTAGGCGAAGTCTCCCACCTCCGGGCAGAACATCTCCTCGTACTTACAGGCCACCAGCATGGCGGCCACGCCGGCCAGCTGCAGCTTCCTGCGGGACACCGGCTGGACCTGCGGCGGCAGCAGAGGGTCAGAGCTGGCGGCGGGAGGTTCTGGTGCCGGTGCGGCTCACCTGCAGGAAGCGGTCCAGGACGGCCACGGTGAGGTACAGCGTCTCTTGCAGCAGCTGGAAGCGAGAGTGGACCTGGATCAACCAGTCCACCAGGATCGCCCTCATGGCCGCCGTGACCTCCGACCCCTTCAGGTAGTCGGCCCGGATGGCCTGCTGCACCTGGAGACATGCCGGGGGTCAGAGGTCATGCCAAAAATGAGAAACTCCTGTATTGGATTTTCAATTTGTATATTGAACTCCCTGCGTGTCACTGGGTCAGAGGTCAAGGCCAGAGCCAGGGGCTGTCCACATTCGACAGGCTTTTGTGCATAAATGATGTATAAAACAGAGGAGCACCTACAATCTGTCTGCTTACACTTTAGAAAGCAAAAGCTGAATTCTGGGTCAAAGGTCAGAGCAGGAGGAAGGACGTTACCTCCAGACTCTGCAGGTAGGCGTAGATGTCCTTGACGTAGTGAGAGCAGAGCTGCGGCTCCGCCGCGTCCTGCTCATCCACGTCCGGCACCGGCAGCAGCGTCTCGGAGAAAGCCGGGCACAGTTCCTGCTCCGCCTCCAGGGACGGATCCTCTGGAAGAGGCGGGAGCGTCTCCGGGAACCGGGCCGCGACCTCCGGGACCCGGGCTGCGACCTCCGGGACCCGGGCCGCGACCTCCGGGACCCGGGCCGCGACCTCCGGGACCCGGGCCGCGACCTCAGGGACCCGAGCCGCGACCTCCGGGACCCGGGCCGCGACCTCCGGGACCCGGGCCGCGACCTCCGGGACCCGGGCCGCGACCTCAGGGACCCGAGCCGCGACCTCCGGGACCCGGGCCGCGACCTCAGGGACCCGGGCCGCGACCTCAGGGACCCGGGCCGCGACCTCCGGGACCCGGGCCGCGACCTCCGGGACCCGGGCCGCGACCTCAGGGACCCGGGCCGCGACCTCCGGGACCCGGGCCGCGACCTCCGGGACCCGGCTGGGTTTCTGGGAGCAGGAAAACTTGGAGGACTTGTTGGACGATCCCGTCCTCTGAAAAACAGACATTTAAACCGAAATTCCTCATTTCTACCACAATCTTAGCCAATAAAGCTGATTCTAAACGCATTAAAAACCTTCTGCACATGTTACAGGGATAAACATGAGGTTTAAAAACCAACACAGCAAACATTTAGGTCTACATCCGGGTCACCTTCAAGTCAAAAGCCAAAACATCCGCTGTGTTGTCTTTGGGGCGTTGACCCCGATGACCTCTCGAATTTAATTAGGTTACCATAACGACACAAGTCTGAGCCGGTTTGGTCCCGGATTCTGGTCCCGGAGCGTTACCTTGGTATCGGCCAGCGGTCCGGGCTGGTTGGTGATCTCTCCCAGGGCGGCTCTACGCCGAGCCGCCGCGGAGCTTTTCCCCGCCTTCAGAGGCTCCTCTGCGGCCTGCAGCGGCTGCAACGAACCGAGACAAGTTGGACAACGAGGACGGAGACACGGAGACGGACGGAGACACGTTAACTCACCGCAGCACGAAGCCCCACAGCAGACATGTCGAGATTAAAGCCTGAATATTTGAACCAGAACCGGAGAAAATCCACTGCAGCTCAAACTACAGAACACGGTTCACGCAGGACGTTCAAATAGCGCTGCGGGGAATCTGATTGGCTATGGCTTAGGCCCAGAGGCCGCTTATTGGCTGCAGCTGAGGCTAGGAGGCCGCTGATTGGCTGAGAATAGGAAGTCAAAATCAGATATGTAAACAGCAGAAATGCTTCACATTAGTAGCGAAATATCGCAGAACTTCAATATGTATATATATGCATATTACTTTGCTTCAAGTATGAAGTATTCCTCCATAAAAAGCATTTCTTAGTTATTGAGTATTACTTCTTAATTTGATTTAATTTAAAGAAACGATATAATCCGACAGGTAAAATATAAAATTACGTTTTTAATAATACAAAAATGTGAAAATATATCACAACATCATAAAGAATTGTCATGTTAAAATCTGTTTTTCACCCTCTGTGGTTTTTTAACAACCTCATGACAACAACAGATTTGGTTGATGCTTGGAGACTGCAGCATCCGGTGGACAGGGACTATTCCTTTTTCTCAAATGTACATAGATCGTATTCAAGAATAGACTATTTTCTGTTGGATGCTAAACTAATACCTAATGTGATATCCTCCAAATACCATACGCTTCTAATCTCTGATCACTCTCCAATCTCACTGACTCTCGATCTTAACCATAGGAAACAACAATATTTCTGGCGTTTCCACCAATCCCTTCTATCACAGGAGACATTCTGTAAATTCCTAGATGATAAAATTTCTGACTTTATAGATACTAACGATACAAAAGATGTTACAGACTCTACACTATGGGAAACTTTCAAAGTTGTGATTAGGGGTCATATTATTTCTTTTGAAAAGTTCCTGAAAAACAAAAAACGGAAACGCCTCTCAGAAATTGAGACTGAATTAGCACGCTTAGAATCTAATTACAAGTCCTCTTCCAATCCTTCGACTTTAGAAAACATTCTTGTCTTAAAATATGAATATAATACTATCTTGTCCAGGCGGGTGCTCGATCAGATGTTTAAAATTAAGCAGAAACACTTTGAGCTGAGTGATAAACCCCATAAACTGTTGGCTCGTCAGCTGCGGGGCTTGCAGGCCAACAGGGCAATACATAAAATTAAATCCAAGACAGGAAAAATTGTAATTGAACCAAGAAATATAAACGATTCATTTAAGGAATATTATGAGCAACTATACAGGTCTAAAGCAAAAGGAAATATCTCAAGCTGGCTTAAAGATCTGAACCTCCCAAAGATGAGTGAAGTCGCGCGAGAGGCGCTCAATGCAGACATTACTGTGGAAGAGATTGTTGATGTAATCAAATCACTTCCCAATGCCAAGGCCCCAGGACCAGATGGTTTCGGAACTGAGCTCTATAAGAGATATGCCCAGAAGATTGCTCACCTCCTCCAGAGGATGTTCGTTCACTCTCTTGATTCAGGGAAATTTCCCCCCACTATGTATGAAGCCAATATCACATTAATACATAAAGAAGGTAGGGAGGAGACAGAGCCCTCATCATATCGCCCTATCTCACTATTGAACTCCGACATTAAAATATTCGCTAAAGTACTGGCAAATAGGCTAGATAAACATGTTTCCTCTATTGTCCATCCGGACCAAACGGGCTTCATCCCTAAAAGGTTTTCATTCTTTAATATCAGGCGGTTAATGAACATTATGTATCACAAATTTGACAGTAAGTTTAAGGGAGCTGCTATTTGCCTGGATGCTGAAAAGGCGTTTGACCAACTGGAGTGGCCTTACATTTTGACTGTACTTGAGGAATTTGGGTTTGGTAGTAAATTTGTGTCGTGGATTAAAACAATGTATGCTCAACCCTCTGCCTCTGTCCTCACAAACCAGGACAAGTCAGAGCCCTTCCTCCTGCATCGAGGAACCCGTCAGGGTTGCCCCCTTAGCCCTCTACTTTTCGTGGTTGCTATGGAACCCCTCGCCATTAGTATTAGGAAACACTCCCTAATCAAACCAATTCAGCTGGGAAACATTGACCATCACATTTCATTATATGCTGATGATGTTGTTGTTTTTGTATCACAGCCTGAGAAATCAGTACCAATTCTCCTAGACCTCATTCAATCATTTGGCGAGATTTCATGTTACACTATTAACTGGCAGAAGAGTGAATTTATGCCACTAGGTGTTAGACTCACTCCTGAATTCTTAGATAACCTCTTGTTTAAGATAACTGACAAACTGAAATATCTTGGAGTTATTCTGCCTAAAGACCCTAAACAAATCTTCAAGTTGAACTTTTTAGAAAAAGTGGATAATCTTAGGAAAGATATTGATAGATGGAGAACACTCCCACTCTCAATGATGGGCCGCATCAATGCTATTAAGATGGTGTCCTTGCCTAAATTTTTATATCTTTTCCAGGGTCTGCCTATTTTCATAACGAAGGCCTTTTTTAAATCTCTGGACTCAATAATCTTGCCCTTTGTCTGGGGCTTTAAAGCTCATAGAATATCAAAAACTCACTTACACAAACCGAGAAGGATGGGGGGGTTGGGATTGCCCTGCTTCCAGCACTACTATTGGGCAGCGAATGCAAGGAGCCTGATGTATTGGCAGGAAGATGATACTCAGGAACTTCCTGCAAACTCTCCCCCTGGGTGGCTATTGAAAGATCTAGTGTTACAAATAGCTCTCTCTCGGCACTTCTTTTCTCGACGCCAACATCTCCAACAAATAATGGAATAAATAATATGGTTGTTTTAAATTGTTTGAAAATATGGAAACAAATTAAGATATACTGCAACCTACCAGAGACCTCAGTTCATGCCCCAATGTACCGTAACCATGCTTTTCCCCCATCGCTGTCGGATGTATCATTTAAAAATTGGAGACTAAAAGGCCTAATTACGCTGAAAAATTTGTATATTAACAAAAAGTTCGCCTCATTTGCAATGCTGAAGAGCTGTTTTTCTCTTCCGGATGCGGATTTTTTTAGATACCTGCAAATTAGAAATTATGTTCGAACTAACATCCCGAATTTTGTATCTCTCCCGGAAGAAAATAAGATCTGTAAAATACTGTTGTAAAATACTGGTTGTAACACCCGGAAGTGTAAATGGTAATCAGTGCACTGTATCCAGTTATCTAGATAATTGTCTCGACCTGTTCGTATCTTAATTTATTTTACTTTTGGTTATTGTATGTTTTTATTTGTACTGTTTTGTTGGTAAGAGTATATCTCTCTCACATAGTAATCTGTTAAATGTGTGTGTGAAAACTCAATAAACATATATATATATATAAAAAATCTGTTTTTCACAACAAAAAGCTTGTATATAAAGAACAGCGCTCAGAAACAAAGCTGGTGTGTAGACAGGAGGTCTCACTCAAACATAAATTGTAGGCTGATGCGTTTCTGGGTTGCCAGAAACTTCACTGCAGTTCAGTGCAGTAAAAATACTCCTATTAATACTTTCCTTTTCAAAAAGTTGCTCATGTAAATGAAGCTGGTTGCCTCCATGTGTAACAACATGCTTCTTCACAGCGTGTTAAACAGCAACTTCCTGTTTGTATCAAATATCCTCTGGAATAAGACAATTACTTTTATTTATTTTAACATTTCAATAATAAATATTTGTCACTAATTCTATGTTTCTAGATGATTCATATATTAACCGGTTAAAAGATCTTATTTGATTCACTGCTGAACCAGAACTTCAACTTTTTAAATGAAAATATAAATATTGTGTCCAAAGTCAGGCAGCTGGTGCAGATCAAAGGGTTCAAATTTAATATTTTATAAAATAAAGACGTAGACTAAACCAAGTTCTTAAAATGGGGAACTTTTAAGGTGCAACACAAAGTATAATTATTTTAGTCTACATTTGAACTTAAATTACAACAATTTAATGAACTCAGAAATAAAACAGAAAAAAAACAAACTGTACATCATCAGAACATCGTGAGCCGATTTTTAACCAGGGAAAGAGGCAGAACCTGATTTATGTTCAGAAATGTACAAAATTATTTTTTGCAATTTCAGTGAAAAACATCAAAACACAACTTTAAATAAAGTTGTATTTGGTACAACTTTATTTAAAATGTAAAGTTTCAGTTTTTAAATCTTAAACTTTGTGGTTCCCAGATGTGTCTTGAGTTGTCAGTGATCTGCATGTGGAGCAAATGACATCTGACTCAGATTCCTGGTCTGTTGGATCAATGGAAATATTTTGAGGAGTTTCTGATTGATGCTTCTGATCTGAATGAGTCTGTATTGTCTGAAATAAAGACACCACCTGTGTCTCTGACTGTTTTTATTGGAGCATCTTCTTCACAACCTGCAGCTGCGCCTTCACAGAAACACGAGTTTCTAATAAATCAGTAGAAAATACTAGCAGTAATGGATGGATGTTTGACTAAAAAAGCTCAGCTCTTCCTGTCAGATCTGTTGATGTTCCCCGGATCCTGCAGCTCCTCCGTTTGGAGCATCTTGGGATTTATCGGCAGAACCACAACAATACAAACTCGGTCCGTTTTCACAGAGACGACACCAAGACCGGAGAAAACGGACCTGGAAACGTGAAAAGCTGTTATTATCTATCTTATCCCAACAAGATGATTTTATCCCAGGAACGTTTTTCCAGAACCAACATCAGAAGCTTTTCTGACAGTAATTACTAACCTGAGCGAGTTTCCCCTCCACCTTTGAAACCTGATGTTATCTTTGTAAATATATTAATAAATGTTTCCAGAGGTCATGAAAGGTCAACCAGTCAAACCTGCTGTCAATCAACTCCACTACATTTATGCTGCTTTGGCTTCAAAGATTTCAATGAAAGTTTAAAGGTCAAAAGGTCAACCAGCTCCACCCACATCATCCAAATCTATCAAGATTGTTGTCAAACTTTTGTGCCGCTATCATTTTAAATATATTAATAAAAATGTAATCCAATTATTTCGCACCCATTTATATTAAATGCATGGAAGATGGAGGAGCTGGTTGACCTTTCATGACCTCTGGAAACATGTATTTATATGTTTAAAATGATAGTGGCAAAACCAAAAAAAACCTACGACACAAACCAGAAAAACTGTTTGGTTTTGAAAATGTGAGCTTCCCCTGGTTGACCTCTGATGACCTCTGGAGACATTAACATCTTTTATATGATAGCTACACAAACCAGCACAAACATAACATTGACACCAATTTAGTTTGATTTGAGTGATGTGGGCTGGCTGGTTGACCTTTTGACCTTTAAACCTTTATTGACATATTCAAAGCAGCACAAATGAACATTTTTGCCTCCAGTTTGGTTGAAGCTTCTCAGGTTTTCCTGACTTCAGTTTCCCCTGTTGGAGACTCGGCGTCGCAGTTTGTTTGAATCCGTTTACAGACGGATGGATGAATGAATGAATGGATGAACGAACGGCTGATAGGAATGCATGATGGAAGCCGTCACAGATGAAGTTCATGAGTTGGATCCCAGCCGAAGCGGCAGGCGCAGCTGGGTTCTGCTGATGGAGGAAACGTTTCTTCTTCCACACATTCAGACATTTGTGGAGGAGAATAAAACGGTTCGTTGATCCCGACTGAAGCTGCGTCAGATGGAAGCGGACTCAGTTCCCGTTCTGGTTCATCTGCAGATACTCGCTGTGGAGCTTCTCCTGAGCCTCAAACAGCTTCCGCAGCTTCTTGGCTTGGCCTTTGCTCAGCTCCTTTCCTTCAGCGTCATGAGTGGAAAACCCTGAGGGGAGGAAAACGGGAAAGATGCCAAGTTTTCAAAACTGAAAACTGTTCAAAAACATCTTCAAATGGACCCAAAACGTTTTGGCTTCGTTTGGGAGGAGATTGAATGTCCCACTTACCGTCTCGTCAAACCTGGAATATTTGTCTGTTTCCAGGCGAAACATCTCACACGGAGGGACCTTCATCTTGGCCAGTTTCGCCATCTGGAAGAGAGAGAGCAAAGTGATTATTGGGCGAACGAGTCGGCGAATCCAAGCGATTCAAAATGTCTGACGGACCTCCTGCTCCTGCTTCTTCCTGGCAGCTTCCTCCTTCTTCCGCTTCTTCTCCTCCTCCATCTGGGAACGAAGGAAAAGTTTCATCATCAGTTCAAACTGTTGATTGATGGAAGAACTGATTCATGCTTTCATTCTCACTCTGCTGCAGGTCTGGAACGATCTCCACCATTATTATGATAACCATCAACTGATTTAGTAATTGATTAATTGATAACTGGAGCATTAGAGGCTCAAAAAGGCAGTTTCCTGAAAAACAGTCAGGCAGAAACTAAACCAAAACTATAAACAACTTTAAAAACTTTGTCTATAAATTAACCAACACTGATGAAGGCTTTAGCTTTCGCTGGTTCTGTAAAAAGAATCTCATGTTAACCACCTTTTACATTCAATTATTAATCAGTTGATCCAAAACTGAATCACCAGATTATCCCTAATCTGATCCGATGTTCAGCCCAGCAGAAACGTTTCATTTTTAGCTGCAGATTCATTATTTCCTGCAAATGATCACTAAATCAATTATCATGGTTATTATCTGATCATTAAAAAAGGAATTTGTTAGTTTATTTGCATTTTTTAATGTATTTCCAATATTACATTAAAAAGGTGTTTTTATGATTAATCATCTAATAACATAATAATTCATTCAAACCGTCTGACTGCAGATCAATCAATCTATTTATTAAAACAAGTTACTTATTAGTTACGACCCGGTAATAACTAGTTACATTAATTTTTTCTGTACATTTAGGAGTATTTTTTACAGCGCTGTGATTCTCTCTGCTCAGCTTTCGCTTTGCCTTATTTCCAGTCTTCTGTATCTGCAGCTGTCTGGACCGAATGACTTGGTGAGACTTTGAGTTTTTGCAGTGCAGATTATCGCGCCATTCGATACACGAGACGGCGAACATGTAAAAACTTTTATTGTTTTACAAACGTATCAGAGTTGATCAGTGAGCCTCACCTTCTTCTTCTCCTCTCGCTCCCTCAGTAACGTCTCCTTGTCCACCAGCTTCACCACGGTGGGCTGACCTGAAACACATTCTCAGTTTGACCCGAGCCGCTGCGGACTTCCTGTTGGACCCGTTTTTAAAAAGCTGCGTCACCTTCGTGGTCCTCCAGGCGGACGCCCAGCTCCGGCAGCGTGTCGTCCCGGACGGCGTCGCAGAGCCGCAGCAGCGCCGTCACTGGACGGGTCGGGAGAACAGAGTCAGTTCTGGAAGCCCGGACGGGATCCGGAACGTCGGGTTTCGGCCTCACCTTTCTGCTCCCGGGCGATTTTCCGGACGTCCTCTCTGAAGTCGGACAGAACCGCCAGGTAGGGCATCACCGTGCTCTCCAGCTGTAAAGATCGGACCAGAACCGGGTCACTGCACAGGTTTTTCCCAGCTGGGTTCTCCCAACAGATCAGCCGTTCACTCACATCCACAGCTTGTCCTCCGACTGGGAAACCGATGGGATCGGATCCGTCGATGGCTCCGAATATCTGGAGCAGAGCCAGAAGATTGTTGATGCACAAACAGCTTTTAAATCACAAATTAAATGAAGAATTTAAAAAAAAATTTAGTTATTTAAATGGATAATTTTAGTATAATTTATTTATTAGGTAAATTAATTTGAGTTTCTTTTTTAATCCCTTTTTTATTTCTGAAATATTAAGGTTTTAATTAATTACATTAATTAATGTAAACAGATGATTTTAATGGTTTTATTAATGTGAGTAATCAATTTAATAAAATAATTCAACCAATTACTTGACTTAATCCAATTAAATTACATAATTAATTTGTCACTTTATTTCTTAGAAACGAGCTCATTGAACGTCCTTCCTGATTGGTTGACTCCCCGTCTTCCTCCTCCATCATCATCATCACCTTCATCATGGCGGTGAGGTAGGAGGCGATGCTCTCCAGCAGCAGGCGGTTGGGCCTCAGCTTGGCGCTCTTCCTGCTGGCGATGTAGCTGTTGCTGAGGCCGACCAGAAGCCTCATCTCCTCCATGGCGCTGCGAGTGTCCATGTTGTCACACAGCGCCAGGTGAACAGCCCACTTCCTGTCGTAGAAACTGGAACACACACAGGTGCGCTGTTGGTGTGTGTGGAGGCTGAAGCTGCTTCCTGTCCTCTGATGTCTCACCTGCTGTTAAGCTCCGCCTCCTCCGCCTCCCACTTCTCGTAGCGTCCGGTCAGGTCGCTCGGCGCCCGCAGGATGTCTTTGACGTTCAGGAAGAACTCCTGCAGGCGGGAAGAGAACCGGCAGCTTTAGACCCGAGCGAGGCGGCGGGGAGTCGCCCGAGGCGGCGGCGGCACCTACGTTCATGAACTTCTCGTACTGGACGGCCGACTCCATGGTGTTGGCCGAGTAATCCAGCGTGTCTTTCCAGGAATGCATGAGGAAGGCCAGGCGCAGCTGGCGCGCTGCGGGAGGAACGGCTCACGTCAGCAGGGGGCGCCTGCAGGCCGACGCTCGCCCAACAACGCAGGCACACTCACCTGTGTTCTTCGCCAGGGCGTCCTTTATGGTGATGAAGTTTTTCAGAGACTTGGACATCTTGCAGCCGGCGATGGTCAGGTGGCCGGTGTGCAGGAAGTAACGGACCCAACAGTCGTTCTGGAAGAACGCCTGAAGAAAAAACAGCTGGGCTCAAACAGAACCGTCAAACAGAACCGCCAAACAGACCAACCGAGCCAAACAGAACCGCCAAACAGAACCGCCATGATGAGAGATCAGATTAATCTGAATGATTGTCTCATGGCGGCGTATTTGGCCCACTGTAGATAGAAAACAATCAGAAATCAATTCTGACAAAAATTTCAAAAACATTTTCTGGAAGACAATGAAATTTCTGAGTTTCAAAAGTAAAAACAAATTCACTGTTGATGATTTTATGAGTTGAAAAAGTTGAAAATGTTTAACTTTTCAAAATTTCCATGTTTTTTACCTGAAAATATCCAAGATTAATCTCAAAATTTCTGAGTTGTTTTGGCAGAAATTGAGTTCTGTGAAAATTCATTCTAGTAATTAAAGAAATAAATTGTAGCCTGACATATTTTGCAGCTGTAAAACATGCTTTAAGACAAGATGGCCGCCCTGACGTCGCTCTCAATTATGGAAATACAATGAGCACAAAAATGTTAAAAAAGTAAATTTTCCAAAATTTAAATCTTCAGAAATAAAAATTTGATTAATTGATAAAATTGATTTATCGTCCCAACCCCACCAACAGAGTTGGTGTCAGGTTTGGCTGTTTGGAAGCAAAACATAAGCAAGAGAGTGACAGGAAGTGACAGGAAGTGACCTCGGACTGGGCCAGCTCGTTGTCATGATGGGGGAAGCGCAGGTCGAAGCCTCCTCCGTGGATGTCCATGGACTCTCCCAGGATGGAGCCGGCCATGGCTGAACACTCGATGTGCCACCCGGGCCGACCCTGCCGCCGCCGCCGCCACAGGAGGACACAGACTCTCAGTTATTAAAGCGTGGAACATGAGAATCAGGAGGAAAATGGCGGCAGCCGCTCACCTTCCCCCATGGAGAGTCCCAGGACGGCTCGCCGGGCTTCGAGGCTTTCCACAGAGCGAAGTCGTTCTGGGATTTCTTCTCACTCAGTCTGTCTGCTGAGATGCTCAGATCACCTGCAGAGAAGATCGGGACGAAAATGAGGTTCGACGCCTCCTGGTGTTAGCTCCAGGTAAGACGCCTCCTGGTGTTAGCTCCAGGTAAGACGCCTCCTGGTGTTAGCTCCAGGTAAGACGCCTCCTGCCGTACCTTCTCCTTCCTGCAGTGCCTTCTGGTCTCCCACAGCCTCTGGGACCAGCTTGGCGTACGAATGTTGTGGACTGGAATCAAACCTCTGGGTATCGAAGTAGACGGACCCGTTGGACTCGTACCTGCAGACATCCCAGAACCAAACGGATCAGAGGCAGCGGCTGCTGGAGAACCCTTCAGATGGTACTGTCCTCACCCGTAACCATTGGAGACGATTTTCCTCACGAACTCCACGATCTCCGAGACGTACTCACTGACTCGGGTCAGAACGTCGGCAGGCAGAACCTGGGGGGCGTGGAGAGAGAGATGAAGCTCTCGCTCAGCTGATCGGGCGGAGGGGGCGGAGCCTGCAGCTTACGTTCAGGGCCTCCATGTCTCTGTGGAACTCCCCTCCCAGAACTTCGGCAGGACGGAGAAGATGGAGTTCTCTGTGACTTCACTTCCAAACTGCCTGTCCAGCCAGTCGGACAGCAAGTCCTTCGAGTTCTCCAGCAAAACCTGGGAAAATAATTAACACCAAACTCTGTTACAGAGGAACTGGAACAGCAGCAGGATGAGGAGTTCTGCAGCGTTTCGGTCCGCCTGACCTCAGCCAGAGGCTGCAGCACGTCAGCTGCTGCGTTGCTCTCCGTCGCCCCCTGCAGGGGCAGCAGAGCGGCGGCAACGGCGGCATCCAGACGCTCCAACATCTGCTTCTTATCCGGGTCCGTGGTGGAGGCCAGCTGCTCCCGGAACAGCTGCAGGAAGATGGAGGAGGAAACTGATTGCGACCGGACCGGACCGGACCGGACCGGACCGCCATGTCGTTGCTGATCCGATCTCGACCGGCGCATCGGATCCGATCTCTGACTCACCACTCGTGCGTTCAGGACATCCTGCAGGATCTGAGCCGCCTGCGGCCGCTTCTCCCTGTACCGCTCCAGGAGGAAGTTCTGCCGGGCCCGTTTGATGATCTGAACCAGGAGGAGAACCAGATGCCTGGATTATCTGACTGCTACATTTTGTTTGTTAGACACCCGAAAATCAAAACTGCATGAAGCTCATAATTCTGCATTGTTAAAAATAATTGGTTGTTGAAAATCCAGAACATTTCCAGAAACTTTCAAAGATATAATTTGCTGCAGAAACAACTCATTTAATTTGGCTTATTGAGCTGCAACAGTGCAGAACATCACCACGTTTTTACACATTGTTTATTGTTTTTCACTTTGCTGTTAAGAAAAAATGACTGATGAGACGTTCCAGTTTACCTGCAGCATGTAGGACCGTTTCAAACCTTCAGAACCTTCAGAACCTTCCAGAACCGCTGGATTCTCACCTTGTCGTCGATGTCTGTGATGTTCATGCAGTAGAGGACGTCATACTTAAAGTAATCCCTCAGGATCCGCCGCAGGATGTCAAAGGAGATGTAGGACCTGCAACAGAGGCGGAGCGGCTGGTCAGGACGGAGAGGTTCTGGCCTGGTTCTGGGTTTCTGGTTCTGACCCGGTTACCTGGCATGTCCCATGTGTGAGGCGTCATAAACGGTGGGGCCGCAGCAGTACCATGTCACCTTGTTGCCCTTCTGGGGAACAAACGGCTCCTGGAACAACGAGACGGCGATTAAACAGAACCGGCTGAGGCTGCGGTGTACTGCAGGGCTCAGCGATCGGACCAGCCTGGTTTCTGCTCTATATGAGGTTTTCTACAGTAAAACTTCACAGCTTTGCAGGTGAGTTTTAGATTTATTGACCTTTAGCAGCAGACAGACTAATTCAAGTGTTGCTGTGTTAAACAGTTTGGCACCCTGAGCTCCCCCCCAGCGCCGCCTCTGCTCCTTATTGTTTAGTTTCTAACATGTGAATTGGTCTATAGATCATATTCTGCCTGATCAGGTGAACATGCAGGTGTTTTAGCACCTTAAAGTGCAGCAGCAGCTGCTGGGTTCTGCAGCAGCTGCTGGGTTCTGCAGCAGCTGCTGGGTTCTGCAGCAGCTGGGTTCTGCAGCAGCTGCTGGGTTCTGCAGCAGCTGCTGGGTTCTGCAGCAGCTGCTGGGTTCTGCAGCCCAGAGTTGCCGGTTCTACGCCGTACCTTGGTTCTGGTCAGGCTGTTGTAGAGCCGCAGCTGAGGAACTTCTGTTCCCGCCGGTGGCGACCATGGAGGCTGGACCCGTTTCCCCTTCACTGGAATGAAACCAGAAACTGGTGACATTCACACCAAGGAGACAAACATGACAAAACTTCAGCTTGTTTTTACTCAAGTGAAAATAAAATCTCACCGTCCAGAAATGACTGAAGAGCAAAAAAGTGACTTGAGTTCTGAATAACTGATCAAAACATCATTTAATATATAAATATGGGCATAATTAGAGACCGAAATATAAAGTTATATGGAAATGTTGCATTTTAAAGACCAAAAGGAAAATAATTCAGATGAATGTCATAAATATAAATAAATTTCTTTGAATATGAAATTTAACAAAAACTAACAAGAGCAGAAATACATCATGATAAAATTACTAATGCAGAAGAAATTTACTTGTAGCAAAATCCTCCTAAATGTCCTTTTTTTTCTTTAAGTTACTCAAATATAACTCAGGAATATAAATCTGGTTTCTCGTGTTAAAAAGCAGAAAATATTCTAAAGATTATAAAAAAGGTTGATTCCTGTTTCATCCAAATATTTAACTTCAAAAAAGATTTTATTGTTTCAGTTTAAAGACATTTAGATGAAATATCTGCAAAACGGGAAGATGAAAGTTTTGACAGCAAAATTAAAACTTTCAGGAAGATTCAGAAAGTTTTGGAAAAATAAATAGATTTTTATTGAATAGATTATTGGTGACAATCTGTTCAATCTAATTCTACACCTTGAATTTCTAAATGCACTTTCTGAACCATTTTGAAGGTTTGTTCTAGTTTATTTATCAGTTTCTTTGTTATTATTTTATATTGGCTGTTATTCTCCAAACTGCCTGAAAAGATTAAAGTTGTTTCGATACATTTACCAAACTGGTGGAGCTGTTGGTGTGTTTCAGTGAGCTGGTGCAGAGATGCAGGGACAGGAACCACTGGGTAACGGTGCCATGGTGATTTTTACATTTTCTGATTGGCTATGCCTTGAATTGTTTCTTAATACAAATTATTCTATCATTCATAGAGACATTCTACTGATGCATTAAAGATTTATTTATTTTTAGAGATTTTCACAGCAGCTGCTGAAGCTTTGTAAACAGAAAAAGCAGAAAAAGCTGAAAGAAAAGTTTCCGGAAAGGACGGATGATCTGGTAGAACAACATGCAGTGAGAGGACAAACAGAGGCAGCAGCTGTGATGTTTCTGGGGCTGCAGGTGTTCCTGACCCTGAGCTGTTTGAGCAGCGATAAGCCGCTGCGCCGCAGAGCGCCACCCACAGGCCAAAGCTCTAGCTGAAACACTCCAGAGGAACTGTGGGTTCATGGTTCTCTGAAGAAACCTGCTTCACGTCAACTGTCTACTCACTGCTGCCGTCTGCACTCAGGTCCTGCTGCAGGGCGGAAATGTGTCTGTACCAGCGCAGAGCGTGGACGTGCTGCGGGGCGGGGGGGCGGGGGAGGAGCCTAAAGGCTCTCAGGTCGGCCTGGGAGGGGCCGAAGCCCGCCAGGTAGCTGCGTGAGCTCAGGTAGTCGTTGAGGGCCGCCATCAGCGCGGCCTCCTCGTTAATCTGCAGCAAGGAGCCAAACTCAAAGGCTGCAGAAACAAGAGGGCAGACGTTAGCAGCCGAGCAGCTGCCACTGTCCTCATCCTCTGGAGAGAAAAAAATCAGAGCAAAACCTCTGATCAAATCCTCATTTCCTCACAGAAAACCATCCAGCAAGCAGCTAAAGTCATCCTGATCAATGCTTTTCAGGACTTTAGAGAGATTTACTGCAGAAAATGTAGAAAATACGGGGCAAATCATCTTCATGAGGGAACGACATTCGTCTGGCGATATTTTCCATAAAAGAGGAGAATTAAAACCCTGAAATATGACCTGAGTGGAAACCGGTTTAAGACCTGGGTTTAACTACTGCAAACCATCTGCTGATTCCCAAACATAACCAGGATCAAATAAAGGAGCTAATCAGAAAACTCACAAAACAAAAAGATGATGCATTCACAAAGAAAACAGGAAAGAGAAATTCAAGACAGGAAAAGGAGCAGATGAGGATTCAACACCAGAACAAAATGAAAGAGAAACCATGCATGAAGATGAAGGATGAAAATGGGGAAAAAATATTTCACATCATGCAGATTGCAGAATATAATATATTTAAAGGATGAAACAAACCTTTTGATATATATAATATGACATACAGGGTATGTTTTATTAATTGATCTCATGATTAATGTCAGGTAAATTAAAAAGGAAAGCTGTGAACATAATAAATAAAAACATATTCATATGCATGAGCTTCAGTTTAAATGCCCAATTCATTTAAATGATTTCTGTCAGAATAACATGATAGATTTTGGTTTTAAGAAACACTTTATTTAGTTTAATAATTATGCCGAACTGAACATATTCAGATATTGCTAAATTATATTCCTTTATTCATTTCTTTGTTTTACAAAACATAAACACTGAAATAAAAAGTCTTGAATGATCGTTTCTTAAACAGAGTTCCGCTGATTTAGCCGAGCCGCTCGCTAACAGAGCTAACAGAGGCTAATTTAGCCTGACAGCCCCTGAAACATTAAACCGGCCTGCCTCTGCTTCCTACCGGCCTCGTGTCTGAGGAAACAGCGGTGATAATAACAGGTAATAGGCGGTAAAAACTGTACCTGTCTCCGGTGAGCTCGACATGGCCACAGGTCTCAATGAGATGCTGATGCAACAATAACCGGACCGGAAGCAGAAACAGGAATTAATGTGTCAGAACACCGGCAGCGGGGGACACTAATGACTGTCGGACTCACCAACACATGTGTCGCAACAGGTGTTTTTCAGGATAAAATATTTTTTAGTAATTTTTAAAAAGTTCAGTAATTTTATTCAAACAGTGCAACATAATTAATGAATTGGCAAATTAAAGACAGTGACGCATTTCATATGTCTATTTCTGATTATTCTGGCTAACAGATAATAGAAAATCATATATAATCGTATTTTATTTTATTATACGTATCACAACATGCAATATATGTACAGTTGTTCCACTTTATATGAGAATTTTTGCATTTTGGATGCTTTCCAATGTTTGATTTCTCCTTCTTGCAGAGATCTTTAATTAAAAAAAAACCTCAAAGGCTGTAAAGTGAGTATTTTGGTTTTTGGAACTAGTCCATCATCTAGGTTCAGCTTTTTTTAAAATTATTTTTAATACCGGATGCCAGTTTATCTTTCCACCTTTACCTTCCACTCAGCTTTTTAGTATGTCTACATGCAGGCCTGAGTCACTATCACCACAATTCTGCCATGTCACGTATAAAACATGCTGAGTTTCTGTGTCAAAAATAACTTTTAATTGTCTTATGTTGTATTTAGATTTTTTTTAAATGCTAGTTTTGTGTTTTCATCGATGAGAACTGCTTGAAGTGAAAAATTACTGAGGGAATCTGTTTAAAATGAAATTTTGAACCCATGTGCGCAGAAAACACGGAAACTCCACAAGGACGAAGCGGTCAGAAAAAGAAGCGGTATCGGACTGCATCCGCCAGAGGGCAGCACAGCCACGTCTTGAAGGGGAAGAAGAAGACTGAAAAGACGCGGAAGTTTGTTTGTTTTTGTAAAATCTGATGTGAAAGTGCAGAAAACTGAGGTTGAATGTGAACGGTCGGCTGAAAAGGGAATTATTGTTTTAGTTTGAGTTGAAATGTCGAACTTTAAGGAATCAATCGATGCTTTAAGTCGCGTTTATGAGCGATATACGGAGTTTGTTCGGAAGAATCCTGCAGCCACCGCTCAGCTGGAGAACACGGTCCGAACCTTGTCCTACCTGATCGCAGGTGAGTCCAGATCCATGAAGCATCCGCACCCCGAACATCCAGCTGCATGAAGCACCCGCAGCTCCATGAAGCACCCGCAGCTCCATGAACATCACACAGTAGCAAAGGACTGTACAGAGGAATGAAAATTATAAATGGTTTCTCATTTGTAAATGGTCTTTGTTTTGATGCCGCTGAATATTAATTATCAGTGGCAGATTTATTATAATGATAATGAGATTATTTCACCGTCCATCATCTCTGACATGGGGATATTTAGTTGACATCCATAAAGAAGATTTAACAAAAATAATTTTTTAAATAAAGCAACAACTTTGTAAAGTTGAACTAATAAAAGCATTAAACCATCATTAAGATGCTTATTTAAATTTAGAGGACGCATTTGCTGGTGAGCAGGAAGAAGATTCCCAAAAAAGGGCAAAATGAGTTTTGAGGAACTTTGCAGACTCCAAGCAAACTGCTGAACATCACCTGAATGCACCATCACTAATGTGAAGCATGGTGGTGACAGCATCATGTGGGAAGCTGGACGGCTCTAAACCAGAACAATCCTGTAAGAAAACCCACAGAACAACCAAAACCGGGGTCAAGGTTCAGCTTCCAGCAGGACTAGCAGCCTGAGGTATTATGGGATGTCTCGGATCAAAGCGGAGTCTCATCACGGCCAGAGAAAACCGGAAGAATTCAGGCTGAGGAGGGAACGGACATGTTGGTTCAGGACAATCGTCGGTTCTTCTCCGTCTCTCGGCTCCGTGGGAAAAAGTTTCATGTCTGCAGGAAGTAAAATGTTGCTGCTTTCATTTCAGGGCGCTTCGCTGACTCTCATGAGATTTCTGAGCTTGGTGAGTAAAGTTGTGCTGCAGCCGTCTCTGACACACCAACACCTCAGGGGACCGCTCTGACCTCTGACCTCAAACGGGCACTTCATTCATTTCTTCTGAGTGGAATCACATGTATCCGCCGCTGCTTGTTTTCCACAAGCATTTTCCAAATTTGCTCCTTTAAACTGGATTTTAATTTGTGGAAAACAAATTGAACCTGAAGAAGATGATTCAAATGTTATTTTTCTTCTTCTTTGAATTCTGAACCAATCATAAACCTCGTTTACGTCAGACTCAGATTTCTGTAAGATGAATTCGCCCCTGATTGGTCGGACAGTTTTTTCTCTACAATCTTTGCTTCCTGTCGTATTTTCAGTCTATTCTGCCTCCAACCTGCTGGTCCTGTTCAACGACAGCATCCTGCGGAAAGGCCTGCGATGCGCCTTCTCGGCGGTGAGCTTGGCTGTAATTCATCTTCCTGCAGAGTTTCATCACTTCCTGACATTCAGGCCCATTAAGATGCAACTTCTGCTGCTGCCTGTCCAGCCTCTCTCCCAGCAGAGACTCCTCACCTGGCTGTCGGTCCTGGAGTACGTGGAGGTTTTCCTGGAGATGGGAGCCGGGAAGCTGTGGGGGGAGGCGGGCCGCTGGCTGGTCATCACACTCATTCAGATTTTCAAGTAAAACTTCTTTATTTCCCTATCAGCATTAAAACTATGAAAATGTTGAAAAGATTCCTGTAAATTTTACTGTAATCAGGAGGCAGGAAGTTTATAAAGATGACGAAAAATTGGTATTTTTAATTAAAAAATAAAACTATAGTAAAAATTCTAAATGAAAATAAAAACAGAATCTGTTAATGAAATGACATTACGGAGCCTGAGGGGCCGATGATGATCTATTATGTAAACAGTCACTAATGTCAATTTAAAATTTCAAATATATACAACTTTAAACTGTTTATTATTATTATCTTTTAGTGCAAAAACCTGAAAATCAGTTTATTCACTGTGTTTTTATGTCTAACAGCTTTTTAAATCATTCAGACCAAAACAAAAGAGACTCAGTAGATAATTTTATTAACTGAGAAAAAGTCCAAATAGTTTGGATGTTTTTTTTTCTTTCCTACCAAAAGTTTCTGTTTTTATCGTATGTTTGTGGTTCATTTTGATCCTAGAGAAAAAGACATAAAACTTCAGAAATTAGAAAATAACATTCATGGAAAAACCTCACATGACTTCATATAACAGCAGAAAGTAGAAAAAAGATTCACCGTTGATCCATTACTGAGACGAAACGCAGAAGAAAACAGAATCGTTCATTCATGAGGCCTCCGCAGGAAACAAGCTTTTCCCTATAAAAACAAATCTAATAAATAATAAAATGGTACTAAAAAAAAGAAAATAAAATTGCCATTTTTGCATAAAACTTTGTAAAATAATAAACAAATTGAAATTAATTTAATAAAAATAAGTTGGGCTTTTTAAAATAAAAAAATACAATAAGTAAAACAAAATAATAAAATTATTTTTTTATACAAGAAAATCAAATAGTAATAAATAAGTAAAAGATCATTTGCATTTTTTAAAATATAAAATAATGAAAATAAATAAAGATAATGGGCATTTTCTATATAAAAATAAAATACTAATAAATAAATAAAACTTAATAAAGAATGTTGTCATGTTGCTCTTAAAGCTGCAGTACTTCTGTTCCAGAGCTGCTTTTCGTCTCGTTCTTCTCCTGCTGTACAAATCCGGCCTGCAGACTTCACCTCCCATAATCCCCCTGGACAGAGGGTCCGAATACGTCTCTGAAGGTCAGATTCATTTACATTTTTATAACTGCTTATTTAAAACCAGAAAAGATTCTGTGGTTCTGTGAGTTTTTATCCTTTGTCGTTTTGTAATCATTTTGAAATGAGCAGGACTGAGAGCACAGCCCAGAGGGACTCCTGCAGAGTAAATGTTGTCTGAACCAGGTGTTTTCCTCCACAGACGACCTCAACGACCAGGATGATGCCTGCTTTGTGGGTCAAAGGTCAGGCCGTGTGATCAGACCTCTGGGCAGCGGTGAGAAACTTTTAACCAATAAAATCCAATAAAAACGCCGTAAAGATAAAAATGATCCCCATGTTGGGATCTTTAGGTTTCCTGTTTTCCGGCGTCTTCTCTGTGATTTTTTTTATTTCTGCCACTTTGTTTAGTTGTTTTTCATCCCATAATAGTTCAGTACAACCTTAGCTGTTGCTTCTGTAACTACAGAATAAGATGAAAAGTAATCTGGAAAAGTTTCCTGGTTGTCATATTATTATTAACCAAATAAATTTTAATTATTAACCAAACTCCCCAGAAAAGGAGGGAATCACCATGGAAACCAGCAGTGTGTCTTTCTCATAATTTCGGGTTCAGGTTTAAATGTGTCACAACAGGAATCAGCCGTTTCAGACTAAAGGAAAGTTTCAGCACAGATTTCAGTGACGTGTGAAATGTGCCGTGTTGTAGCTCCGCCCCTGCAGAGCCGGCTGTGGGGCGCGGCGGCGAGGAAGAGGAGGAGCAGCCTGAAGGAGAGCCGCCCGCCGACACAGCTCAGCTTCCAGGAGACGCTGGCCGAGTCGGTTTACATCAGCCGGCCGCTGGTTCACCGTATCCTTCCACCGACTGAAAATAGATCCCGTTTGAGGCTGCACCGCTCCACTGCACCACTAGAGGGAGCTGAACGGTTCAGCTGGTTCCAGCTGAAGTTTATGTGAATCAGTTATGGAGAAGGATCCTCCATGTCTGTCATCCTTCCACCAGATTATACCACCTGAATTATTATTATCATTCAGTCAGAAGTAGCTGCTGTTTTCCTTGAGTTTTCCGGATGACAGTTCTGTGTCTCGGAGTTTGTGGGAAGCGGTCGTGGAAGCCGTGGCTCGTCTCTGCCGCCCTGGAGCTTTCCAGGTAAACAAACTGCTCCAATAACTTCCTCCTGGCTGACGCTAGTCTAGAGGATAGTCCTGGATGCTGCTGTTTATTTAATGTTTCTCTTAATTCATATTTTTAGGCTTTTTGTTCTTATTTCTTCATGTGGATTTGATCAAATCTTTCAGAAAACAGGATTTCATCTTCAATAAGGCGAAAAACAGAAAAATTAAATGAGATAATTGTTTTTTTTTTTTTTTTGTTTAAATATTTTTATCGGTAATCAAAGCTCAAACTGATTTATCCTGAGATAAATCCTCAGCTCTGCATCAGCTGAGGCCATAAAGTTTGAAGACAAAAATTAAATGAACAGGAATCTGGGTTAAAGCAATTTGCAACTAAACTGAACAAAGGACTGGAAAAAATACAGTAAAAAAATTCCAAACTACTTTTCATAACATTTTTTTAAACATACATTTTGGGCCTGATTTAGTTCCGTAGCAGTGAGTTTGCCTCCCTGCAGGATGGCAGAGTGACTCACCCTCCTGTGGTTTCTGCAGCTTCGCCGTCCTCAGCGACGCCAAGCTGGAGAACCGATGGGAGAAAGCCGAGATGAGGAGGCGGGCCTTCCTGTTGTGCTACTACCTGCTGCGCTCGCCATTCTACGACAAGTTCTCCGAGTGAGTCAAACGTCCAGGCGAGCTGTGGACCCGACTAGATTAGTGAAAATCAACACTGCAGTTAAAAAAAGTGCTGAGATGCAAAGAAAATCCACAATTCAGTTTATCATAAAATAATTTTTCCTCAGTGAAGTGAAAATCTGGTTGGTTTGTCTGCAGGGAGAAGATCGTTTTCCTGCTCAGACTTCTGGCGGATCACGTTCCGGGAATCGGACTCGTTGCGCGTAAGTACCGCAGTCGGGTCACGAAGACACTTCAGCGTTTTCCATCGAAGTGACTAAAAGTGGGAGGACGAGGGTCAGACTGAGGATGTTTGGTTGAAATGACAAAAGTCATAAAATTAGAAGAATAAAGACTCAATAGTCAGAAGGAAGTTTAAATTGACTCTTCAAACTGGTTTTGATGAGTGAAGCTTGTCGGGTCATTGGATCGTTTCAGTTCTGCTGCTAAAGGATGAATCATGTGGTTAAACTTTCGCCAAACATTCTTTTTATTATTCTTTGCACTGGGGATAAAATGACTACTTTCTACCAATATTACAACTTTAATCTGGTAACATTATGAGTTTATTCTCATATTACAAACTTTCGTCTTTGTCCTGTAAGTTTATTCTCGTATTTGTTGGCTGAGCATGTTGGACGGGATGCTGTGGTGACACCAGATGGATCCTGGTTTCTGCTCTTTGGGTCGTTTTGCTGCAGACGTCTGAACTGGTCTCTGCGTGTTTCAGGCCCTCTGATGGAATACCTCCCCACCTGGCAGAAGATCTACTTCTACAACTGGGGATAAACGTCCGTGGATCCGACTGGAAGCTGGACGAACATTCCCACTGGAAATGGAAACATTGAATTTCAGGCTTTGCTCAGACTGAAGTTGTTTCTGATCCGGTTTGGCGGACAGCAGAGCGATCGGGCATGCGGCCTGTGATTTACCCTGCGTCGCCACGGCGGCGGTGTCGGGACCACAGGGATTTGCCCCGCCCTGCAGGCGGGAGAGCGGCGACGCGTCCCCAGACCCGCTGCTCCTCCTCCAATCATTCAAAACTAATGCGAATCATTTCCCTGCAGAAATAAAATGACGGCGGTGAAGAGAAACGAGAAACTCTGAGGGTTTTCCATCTTATTTATACGGTTCTTTTTGTCGCCTACAAATAAATATCTTGATCCTTTCAGTCCATGTGATTGGATTCTATCGGGGCAAAAAACATGACAAACAAACTGCTGAACGTCGAGTCTGCCCAGAACCCGGCGGCCCGGTTCAGCGACCCGGTCCGGGTTCTGAAACAGAAACAATCTGAGTGGTTTTAAATTTAAAACTGTAAAAACTGAATCTGAGGTCATTTCTAGCAGACTTGAGGCTCAGACAGTCGGGCTGCATAGTCAGATCCTCCATCCATGAGCTGTGACCTCTGACCCCTGCTGGGCCAACCCGGTTTGCATCAAGGCTGTTGAACTGTCAGCAGAGGGCAGAGATGCTATATGGAGCTACATAAGGGCCATAAATCTTGCTTAAAGAAAAATAATTTAAAAACTGGAACAAAAATATTTAACTGATTATTTTAACTGTGAAAAACATTTAATATAAAATGTTACTGAAAAAAAAATAGATTTGGAAACTAGAAGATAAATACTGGGAAAAATATTTAAAACAAAATTTATATCAACCAAAAATAATTAAAACAGACTTTAAACAAAAAATTTTATTTTGAAACAGATGGAAGTTAAACATTTCTCATGAAGTTTTTTTTTTAACAAACTTTCTGGCCCTGATTTGTCTCCGTACCGCCCGGCCGTCAGCTCAGGACTGATCTGAAATCAGTGCTTCTCAGGAGAAAAACAACCAAACTCAACTGAAAGTCAGCAGCTTTTAAACATGATGGATTTATGAAGAAAACATGACGCCTTGTTTTTAATATCACAATAAAACAAAAAACTTTAAATGTTATGAATCAAAATCACATTAATTTCTGGATAAAGAAAATAAAGATTTAAGTCCTCAAGTTGAAAATCTACGACCAGCAGGCTGTGGACAGAACAACGGCTGTTTTAGAAAAGATTCGATACTTTCTGATGGTTTATGAAAATAAAAGTCACGATTCTGCTAATGAGGGAAGAAATACTGTCTCTAGTGGAGGACAGGACAGGGGACGCCGTCTTTCCCATGCAAGCCTTCCCGCGTCTCGCCCGTCTCCTCGCTCCGTTTGGAGCGATGCCAATCGGTTCTGCCGGCGCCGCTCAGTACGACCCGTAGCGGTCCTGGGAGACAACGCCAGTCTCAGTGAGGTGAAGAAGAAGAACGGCGGCGGAGACGCTAGCGAAACACCGCATGACTCACCTGGATGGTGTTCATCACCCCGTTGGCGAGGACGGCCATCTTCCCCGCCACCGTTTTCACCCCCTGCTTGAACTGGGCCATGTCCGGGCCGG